ACAGATAGAGACAGCACAATACCATTTCCATTTCTAGATATTTTTTAAAGGGGTCCTATTATGCTTTTTCACTTTTTGAATTTTAGTCAGTGTGTAGAGTGTATGTTTGGGCATAAAAAAGATCTACAAAGTTACAAATCTCAAAGTCCACTCCAAAGGGAGATATTTCATTTAAAAAAAAATCACTTTTCAAGAACTACAACTAACGGCTCGTTTGGACTACAGCGTTTGTTTTCCGGGTTTTGCAATGTCACAAAGCGGTCCATTAGAATATAATTAAAATAATTACCGCCTACGGAAATTCGAATGGTTGTGGGGTGGGGAGGGGCGAGGTCGTGGTTAGAACACGTGGTTGAGTGCATCAGACAAGACGACGATGAAGAAGAAGTGCTGCTGTATGCTTTTTCACTTTTTGAATTTTAGTCAGTGTGTAGAGTGTATGTTTGGGCATAAAAAAGATCTACAAAGTTACAAATCTCAAAGTCCACTCCAAAGGGAGATATTTCATTTAAAAAAAAAAATCACTTTTCAAGAACTACAACTAACGGCTTGTTTGGACTACAGCGTTTGTTTTCCGGGTTTTGCAATGTCACAAAGCGGTCCATTAGAATATAATTAAAATAATTACCGCCTACGGAAATTCGAATGGTTGTGGGGTGGGGAGGGGCGAGGTCGTGGTTAGAACACGTGGTTGAGTGCATCAGACAAGACGACGATGAAGAAGAAGTGCTGCTGTAGTGTCAAGTTTTTGCCATGTCAAAGAAATGCTGTTTTTTTCACCCCCGTGCCTTTTGAATTTCCTTGCAGAAGATGTTTTCTACCTCGCTGGGCGTTTTAATGCAGTTATTACACATGCACCTGAAAAATTATGTATGTAAATATGAAAATGTTTTTATAAATTTGAGTGCATCAGACAAGACGACGATGAAGAAGAAGTGCTGCTGTAGTGTCAAGTTTTTGCCATGTCAAAGAAATGCTGTTTTTTTCACCCCCGTGCCTTTTGAATTTCCTTGCAGCAGATGTTTTCTACCTTGCTGGGCGTTTTAACGCAGTTATTACACATGCACCTGAAAAATTATGTATGTAAATGTATGTAAAAAAGACGCTACTCGCTGGGCGTTTTAATGCAGTTATTACACATGCACCTGAAAAATTATGTATGTAAATATGAAAATGTTTTTATAAATTGAAAATGATGTAATCTGCAGAATTTACACTTCAATTATGAGACTATGGTATAAATAAATGTAATTGTATAAGAGTTTCACTGCAATTCATGTTATAATGTTATAATTAAAGAACAATAAACATAATACATATTACCGTTGCATTTAAGCGGTTGATGACATCGTATCTAAAATGTGATTTAGCACACAAAAAAAAAAGACGCTGTGTGTTTCGTTGTGAAAGTAAAACTATTTTGTTTGGTCTTCCAAAAGAGGACACGACTAGAAATCAGTGGTTAAGTTGTATTTACAGCACTGCTCCAGAACAGTTCAACCCAAATATTCAGATGTGTGCAGCACATTTTACAGAGGACTGTTTCCTGAACCTGGGAGAGTAGCCTTCAATGCCATCTGTGCACAAAGGTTGTTTCTATAAAGTGGGGCAATTCCAACTTTGCAAGGACAGTCTGGCGCTTCTGAATCACAGTCTATAAGTACGTATTCATATTTAAATAATTTGCCACTGATGATTCAAACGCGAGTTTTGAGCAGTGTAGAGTAGCGCTTGTTGTTTGTCATTTCTCCGATCACAAATGCAGACATGGTTTTATGTTTATGTGGTGCGATACGGAACGCGTAAAAACACAGTATAAGTCATTATAATCCGTAATTATGTCCCCACTGGATGGTACAAATGCCTCGTTTGTAATGGGTTTTATTGGTTTTGTTTCGTCGCGCCGGGACACGCCATCGCAATATGGTAAGGGGCATAACATTTCTGTCACATGCTTGAGGTATTCGGCCAATCACAACGCACTGGATAGCTGGCCAATCACAGCACACCTCGCTTTTCAGACCGATGAGCTTTGTAAAAATCGATGCGTTTCAGAAAGGCGGGGCATAGAGGAGAAACAATAATGTACAGTATGTGGAAAATAATGTGTTTTGAACCTTAAACCGCATAAACACATTGCATTACACCAAATACACAAAATAATGTTCTTTTTAGCAACGTCATATGACCCCTTTAACTATACCAAATCTGATTACATATGCAAAACTATATTGTCAAAATCAGCTTCTCAGTGGGTTTTCTGAACTAACTAATTAGGCTGGTTTAAGGTCATGTCCAGCAAACACTAATCACAAAGGTTTCTTTGCAAAAGTTGGAGTCCTATGTATGCCACTAGACCAGGGTGTTGTTGTTTTTTTTGTTGAAGTTTTTGAATCCCCAAGCAGAATGATGTGTGGCACACTGTTCTTAAAATATAAAGACATCTATATATCTATAAAGACGATCTATATTATGGTTTAAAAGTTAGGGGTCAATATTTAATTTTTATTTTTTGAAAATAATAATATGTTTTATTTTTTACAACAACAATCATCATCATCATCATCATCATCAATAATAATAATAAAAATAATAATGCTTTTCAAAAAATGCTTTTATTATTACTTTTTTAAGAATGCATTAAATAGATACATTTTCTATTTGAAATGCATGCTGGTCTTTTGAACTTTCTATTTATCAAAAAACTCAGAAAAATATGTATCTTGACTTCCATAAAAATATTAAGCAGCACAACCGTTTTCAACATTGATAATGATAAGAAATGTGTCATGAGCATCAAAGCAACATATAAGAAGGATTTCTAAAGGTTCGTTTGACACAAGCTGAAAATTCAGCTTTGCCATCATGCAGTGAATGGGTGCCGTCAGAATGAGAGTTCAAACAGCTAATAAAAACATCATAATAATCCACATGACTCCAGTCCATCAGTTACCATCTTATGAAGTGAAAAGCTATGAATCAATTCCATCATAAAGGTGTTTTAACTTTAAGCTTCTGGCCAAAATATGAGTCCATAATCCATAAACGTTTCCTGCAGTGAAAAAGTGAATCTCCTCTCACAACAAAATCCACAAACATATTTGTGTAGAACTTCTTTGGAATGTTTTCACTTGTAAACAGTACTTGATCTGTGCATATTTCTCTCCTTATTCAGACAAGGCAACTTTTTCTCAGGAGGAAGTGTTATGGATTAGAGACTATTTTAGCCGTAAATAATGGTTTATAGTAAAAAACATTTTAATGATGGATTTGTTTCTTACAAACACGCAGCTTTGCACTTCGCAAGACATTAATCGATGGATTGGGGTTGTGTGTATGTGTATGAACATATCTTTACACACACATTCACACACCCACTCTCTAAAACTTGCCTGTGCAGATGTCCTGTTAAACCCTTACCAACGACAGTAAATCTATGTATCTGTTTCCCTGCCATTTCTGAGCTCAAGGACTTTTAATAAATGAACTGGTTTGAAGTAAAAAAGATCCTGTGCTCCCACATGTCTTCAAGTAGTTGTGTATTATCTGAACTTGTCTTGGCATGTAACAGGCTCTTGTGTTCAGATTGTAATTCTCTTTAGACAGCATTACCTTCCCCCAGTCTGCAGGTTCTTTGAAACCCAGGAGACAGGATGAGACACGCTCATTCGCCTTTTTTATGTCGGGTTATCATCATCACTGACTTTTAACTTTCTAATTATCATGTGACGAAGTTAAACAATATTGCCAATTGGTTCATGACATCTTTATGCATGTTTTGACAGGCAAGTTTGTGCTGTAAAAAATATAATTTATGATAAATGGTTACCTAACAATAACAGTTGATGGTTTAAGGAGATACAAAATGGCATACATAACACAGTTAACTGAGACAAAAATAAGCCTGTTTTGCAAGTATGCATTTTTAAACATAATTCATTGCAGTGTCTGTGGTCACTATGATCATGTTTGTTTTAAGCAGTGGCATGATTGTTTTGATTTTTGTCTCTGGAGGTTTTGCTCATGATTTCAGCAAGTTAGATTCATGTTCCTCACAAAGAACCTTTAATTTGTTTGTTTTTATATCATATTATGATTGTTTGTCCTGTTATCCTTCGTTTTCCCCATAAAAACACTTACATGATCATATTGTCACATGAATGGAAGTTCAGTTGGCTCTCGTTTAATTTGATTAGCAATAATAAGTCATCATTAAAAATGATTACACACCATAGTTTTGAACAACTGTCCTACACTGCAAAAACTTATTTTTTCCAGTATTATTGTCTTCTTTTCTTTTCCAGTAAGAATATTTTTCATCATGCATTTCACATTCTTAAA